AGAATAAAGTCGGAATATTACGAGAATAAATTAGTAATAATACGAGAATAAATTCGGAATAATACGAGAATAAAGTCGTAATGTTACGAGAATAAAGTCGGAATAATACGAGAATAAAGTCGTAATAATACGAGAATAAAGTCGGAATAATACGAGAATAAAGTCGTAATGTTACAAGAATAAAGTTGTAATAATACAAAAGTAAAGTAGTAATAATACGAGACTAAAGTCGTAACAAGACTTAGAGACTTAGACTTCACTTTATTGATCCCTTTGGGATGACTCCCTCAAGGAAATTGAATTTCCGGCAGTTTATGAGAATAAAGTCGTAATGTTACGAGAATAAAGTCGTAATAATTTGCACTGTTTACTTCCACTTGCACTCCATCCATTTACACTTTTTACAGTTTGCAATGTTTACTGTAGCTACTGTTAATTAAAAAAAAAACAAATTTCTTTTAATACTCCTGTATCTAAACCTGAGTCAAAGAAGTAAAAAACCAAAACAAACAACAACAAAAAACATAATATAGGTGTTTCCCATTGCGATGCCACAATTCTAGGAATTTGATTATAGTTGGGCTTTAAAAAAAAAAGGGTATAAGAGCAGTCGTGGCTCCATTAGTTACTTCAGCAACCGGTGAGAGTACTTTAAACTGTTTTTCTCTCTTTTTAAGTACCTGTTGTGTTACAGTTCCTTGCTGCAGACTATATACCCTAACTCTAACTTTAGGGTATCACCTACAAAACAATATTTTATAGTTCCATTATAAGGTTTTTTCCAGGTGACTTGATTTATGGACTGGGGCAGCAGGGTGGGGTGGGGCGGGGCGACACGGGAGGAGATCAAATTCTGCTTATGGCTTCAGAAATGTCCCTGCTGTGTTCTGGTGATCCGACAGCTGAGACCAAATCAATGCTGGATGAGACAGTAGAGCAGTTAAGTACGGGAGGATAAAACACCACGAATGCATCACTGCTTCTCATGTTGGTTTAATTCAGTCATCTTTTAACAGGAAATACACCAAAACACATTCATAATTAATTGTTTTATCGATTCCAGGTTTGTCCATCTCAACCTTTTTGTAGTGAGTTTCCTTTGAGAGAGAGAGAGAGAGAGACATTCAGCTTCACAATTCACAAATGGTGTTTTAATATTCAGATGGTTGCTATAGCAGATTGAATTGGTTTCTTGGCTGAGACTCGACCTGTAAAGCTTAGTGCTTTTCCCATTCATGTTAAAACACAGGTGTCTTCACAGAGATGAGATAAATATTGCTTAAAAATAAAGAAAAAACTGAGTATCAGATGAGAGTATTTACAATTACACAACTTTTTTAAGACTTGTATAATTATGGGCCCAAATTGTGTTCAGTGTTTTTTTGTAAATTAATATTTTTAAAATATAAGACACATATTGATTATTTTTTTTAAAAAGAGTAGAGCAATAAGTCATCAAGGTCTTAAGAAAACATACAGATGTTTCGGTATGCAGGCTTTCTTGCCAGGAATAGAGAGAAGATCGATGTTTTGTTCATATCTGATAGTCAATCTGAACCTCTGAAGCTCACTAATTAACACATTATATCTCATTTGTTTAATTCAAACAAAAAGCAAAGTCTTAAAACGACGTGTTCTAGTTTTAGAAAGGGTCACGTGCCAAACTATTTCTTGGCTTGTCTCCACTGGTTGCCTGGCAACCTTAAAGTGATGATAAGACTTCAGGAAGTAACTGAAGTGCTGCAGATTTTGTTACTAAGCCAGGTTAGCTGTTTCCCCCTGTTTCCAGTCTTTCTGGACGCTGCCTAGCTTCATAATTACACAGGAGAGTGATATCCAAGAAAAACCAATACACCAACTTTTATAAAAATGTATAAAAAATATTCCTTGTTTGGTGTAATACAACCAGTTCCTTTAACCTCTAAGGTTGTCCATATAGGAGCATGTAGTCCTGTGGAGGTCTTGGCAGGTGTGAGAGGCCTGAGGGCTGACGTGGGTTCAATTCAGGATCAGACTGATTATCAGTTCCAAATATATCAGAGTGAAGGGCAAAATAACACCTAAACATCCAACACAGTCATGATCAACCAGTAAACCAGACCTTCCTCAGAATGTTTGTTGGTTGTCTTCGTGTCAAGATCACAAGTTTTGCACTTTTACCTAGTCCTGGTCCAGGTCTTGGTCCAGGTCTTGGTCACAGTCCAGGTCGAGGTCATGGTATAGATGCCGGTCCTCCCTGCAGCCCTTCCCAACCCTCCCGCAGAGTGAGCAGAGGACCAGCTGTCCCTGTGATAACAGTCAGACTATTATTTGAGATTTAACAGCATCTTACTGTGTTTAGCTTCTTAGCCCAGTTTGACTTCACAGTGTCCAGTTATAGAGACGCTGTGTGTCCATAACAAGCTCATCACTAAAAGTTAAGCTGCATTACAAACTTACTCTGTGCTTTGTTGTATGTTTGCTAATCTCACTCTTGTTGTTTAATAATCTGCTTCAGCTTCATGTGAAGAACTTTGTAACATTGCTTTTTAGTGTGTTATTATTACTATTATTGATTCAGCAATAAGGATATTTTACATTTTAAAGTTCTAATCATTGAGTTAGGAGTCGTGTTACATTGAATGTTGGATTTTATTTGAATTAAATGTTTTAAAAGTTTTTCGCTTGCCTTAAACTGCAAACAAAAAAAATAAAACTTGAACATTTACAAACTCCAGGTGATAAAGACATGTGATCTAAAGTTATAAGGACCTTAATGTGACATATTTATTGTAAAACTTTCTATAATTCATTTGTTTATAGATGTTTGTTCTTTATTTATTTGATATGTATTGGTATATGCATACATTTAAAAGATAATGTAAAGTAATGTATGTTTGATAAAATGTATGTTATAGATATATGAACAATTATATTTACTATAGTTGTAAGACAGTTTTACTCATTTGGCAAAAAGTTACATTTCTGTAAATAAATCAGATTTTTTGTTGTTTTTTCTTCTATCTGCTTACCCATATTAAGGTGGATTTGTGTCACAACTTGTGTTAGCAGAGGATGTACCCCTTCCCTCTGCGAGCACCCCCACTCTGTTTCATCCATCTGCTTGCTCAGTGATGGAGCCATTAAAGGATTTAGATAAAGCTGATTTACTGCCTTGTTCCTGAGAGTCGGGCAGTAATTGAAGAAGTAATTCATTTCAATGATGTGAGTTACCCTCTGTGTGAGGGGGAAGAATGCAGATCCAGCAGAATAGGTGCCAATGTTGAATATAATTAAACACTAGGTAGCCAACTTTACAATAAATACAGATTTTAAAATTACAACATTACTTAAAGATGCAGTGTGTAACATTAAGGAGAATCTAGTGGAAGAAATTAAATATAATATTCATATTTTGGTGTATAATCACCCAAAAAGAAGAATTGTTTTTGTTACATTGGAACGGAAGCAGATAACATTTAACTCCAGACTGTTGACTGTTTAATGTCTCATGTTGGGCAATGAAGATTTAATCTGTTAACAGACCTATTTTGTGCGGTTCAGAATAATAACAAAGTCTATTTATACAAACATCTGCAAACTAGACGTAGCGTAAAGATGATCTAACAGGATGCAAACATTTTGAGACTTCCTGTTTATTCTTGGAATGCTGCTGTAAACTGTCACTTGACTGCAGCTTTTTGTCACCACCTCCTGCTGTGCCTCCGCCTGCACTTCTCCACCTTTCCAGGCGAGGGGGCGTTTCATTTGAACCGAACCGGGTCTTACAACGTTTCACAGCCACCAGTATAGATTTCTACCTACACACTGGAAAGGCTGAGCCGTATTCAAAGATGAGGTCAAATGCGAAACCTTCACCGTTAGATGCCACTAACTTTTACGCACTGGATCTTAAAAAGTGCAGCACATTTGTCAGTAAAAGTCTAACACTTTTACATCAATTCTAGTTATAATCTAATGTTGCAGGTTCACTTGCTATTCCCATTGCTTTCCACTGCACGTCACTGGCTTTCTCAGCCGATGGAGTTTGAGCTTAACAAAGGCCATACATATAGGTACAAGTTTGATTAAAGGACCAGTGTGT